CTAGGTTAGAGTCTGGGCAGTTGTGATCTGTCCCGGTGTCACTGGTTACTCTCTTCACCAATCTGGGTCTCAGTTTCTGCAGGGAAAAAAAAAAAAAAAAAAAAGGAGACATTTGTAGGTTGCCTTTCAAATCTAAGAATCTATGAAATCCCCTGAACATAGCATAAATGGGGATTAACCCGAAATCCAAATGTGCTCCTGTTTTTGCTATAATGAGTGTGACTTCTTCTGCTTTTGAATGCAAGGTTTTAATGTACGGCTCGATTTGGCAGTTCTTACTGAGATAAACTGCATTCAAGGCCAGAGAAATTTCTGGGGCAGAAGCTGAAAGACACAAGTGAAAGGTCCAAGGAGCGTGAAAGCTACATAAAGTTACATAAATTTCAGACGCAAAGAGTTGTTCTACTGAATTTAAAATTAAAAAGCAAACAAAACAAACAGAAACGTTAAAGGAAAACGGAGTTCCTTAGCAAGGCCACCTAAATAAATTCCGTTTCCTGCACACGGACCGGCTTCTGCTCTGTGACTGAGACTTGCCAGCCTTCCTGAGGGAAAAACTCCTTCTATCAAAGCAAATGATGAGGGAATCTCTCCTGTATGTGACCTCAAACGCTGTGGCCCGAAGTGTGAGAGAAGCTTGGGAGACACTTTTTTTTTTTTTTTTTAGCTTTGTTTTTCTTTGGATTTTCAAATGCTAATTTCACCCAACCACGGGAGCTTCATTTAGTCATTTTCCAGGACTGCTTTTTAAAAGGTCTCACGTGAAAGTTAAAATAAATTGAGTTAGAGATCTTGGCCACCCCATATTTATCAACATTATAATTGATTTCTATTCAAAAGTAGAGGACAATCAGTTTGTGCTCAGGCCACTCGATTTATGAAAACACAGCTGCCAGCTTCTTTGGAAATCATTTTTTTTAAATTGAAATGCATTTTTTAGGGTATGGGATGTAACTTTGAATAAAGCCTCAAGTTAAAGGTAAAAAAGCCTATTAAAACATGACAGCTTTTCTTGATACATATATATAGATAGATATCAAAATACCTTGATCACTATATATCAAGAATATATATCATATGATAAATATATATGTATTTATTATATATTAGCATATATTAAATAATTTAGATTTATATATTTCTATATGTAATTCTTAATATATTAAAAACATATATACAATCACATAAATTTGACTCTCTGGAATAAAAAACATTTCACTTAAAAGAAAATATCTGTATTGATCCTTACGAATACCTCGAACGAAGCAAACAGCTTGAACTGACACATTTTCCCTAATATGTATCTTATCACGGAATGTGTATTTTTCTAGGCTGGTAGACTTTCACATATATTCAGTTGCAATGGTAAATCATTCCTTCACTTGCTTTATGGCTCCACTGAGATCTTCCAGATGTAGGGAGGAAAGAGAGGAAAGGATATCAGTAAAGAGAGAGAGAAAGGCTTTATCAATTCAATCAGAAATGGTTAATTCAGTAATAAGGGCTTAGAGCATTTTCATGTCCGTTTATGATGTTAATGTATGTTAATTGCCATTCTCCCCCAAGACTTTCTCCTTTTTCAGGACTTTTTAGGTGAGGTAGGGGAGGTGTGCTCTGCATTTGTCATCCAGTCCTGGGAAGGCCTCGTTGTGATTCGAATGGAGGAGCTTACCTGAAAACAAAAGTGCAGGCCCTCCACCTGCGGTTCCGGGTATCAGCCCTAATGCCTAATTCCTAAACTCTAAGGCAAACCTTCTGCTTAAGGTGTGAGGGCAATTTTCCCACCTCTTTCTTCCCACGGCTTCAGAATAAAAAGCCAACATTAGTAAATCTGTTATACATTTCCATTATAAAAGTAGCATATATACATTACTGAAAACTGAGGAAAAAACATATATATACACACACAACTCACCACACGGAAAATCGCTGCTGACATTTTAGCGTGTTTCTGTCCTTATTCTTTTTTCCCACTTCTTTCCAGAAATGCAATCGTATGTCCTACTTATTGACAAATAAACCAAGCAAAGAAAAACTTACTATTTTCGTACAATTTTGTCACCTGCCTCGTTTCACTTCACGGCACCCGAAGCTTCTAAGAGGTGGGTGGCAGAAACACAAAGGCTAAAGTGCCGTCACAGTTTGCGGCTGCTGTTTTCTGCCACCTCCCAAATGCCTCCTGGGGCAGCCTGGCTTTCCAGAAGGGATCTCTGAACTGTTGTTAAAATTGGGGTCATTCTCTGCAACCTCTGGGATCCAGCATTCAGCTTTCCCTGTAGTGGGAGGACTGGAAATATTCTGAGACTGAGGAAGGCCATCATGTTAATGTCTCAGAAAGAAAAATAAGACCGTTTGTTTGCGCTACTCAGGCTCCAAAAGTCCACTTGACTTTGGGGACTGTACTTTAGATCCTTGCAGGAGGTGGGGAGGGAGAGAGACAGACAGAGAGCGAGAGAGAGCAAGGGAAGCAGAGTGGTCCAGAGAGAGCCCCAGACAACCAGAGTTTGCTCTGTCACAAAGGCTTTATGTCCAAAATGGTTCCAGACCCAAGATGAGGAAGTGGCCGCCCTCAGCCCTGTGCCTCCCCCGATGCTTAAGTGCGCTGTGTGTGTGCATTTGTTTGCCTTTCCAGCCTGGAGCCAAAATCCTGAAATCTGACACCTCGGAGGGCACAGCCCCCTGAGCTCAAAGGCATCAGCGTTTGGGCTGGCTTCTCTGGGCCAGCCTTCCCGAGGAGAGACAAGTCGAAAGACTTCTAAACAGTAGTCTATTCAGCCCGGGCTCTGAAGCGCTCCAAAGAAATAAATGTGTTACAGCTGTTCCATGGGGGAGGCCCGGGCCTTTGGGGACCAGAAGGAATTCCGGGACTCAGGGAGCAGTTTTGACTCGGCCGCTTCTCTGGAGGCTGGCTGCCTGGAGGTGGCTTTCTGGTGGGGCTGACGGAGCCGGGTCCATCGCCTGGAGGTGGGGACATGACCGTCCGCGCATCTGCTTAGTGACAGCTCCTGGCACCACTGCCGCCCGCTCAGAGCAGCGCCCCTGGTTTTATGAACAGGCGCTTGTGTACGCTGAGTGCACAGGCATACAGCTCATGTTCTGTTATTAATTTAAAGTCCGGACCATGTGGTGTTTTTTTTTTTTTTCTAATTCTTAAGAGCACCTTCCTTAAAAGATCTTTAAGACGTGAGTTATAGATAGCAAAACCATAATGGCAAACAGACAAAACCCAAAACAAAAAATTACAGCGATTTTTGTAACCTTAATTGTGAAACACACAGTTTTGCTTTGCTTGGTGCCAGTTTACGTGGATGTCAAGATCATTAAGTTAAGATGTATTTTAAGCAATTCTTTAGTAACATTGATTTTTTTTTGATGCACGAAAACGTCATTAAAACAATTGTAATATCCAAAATGCTATAAACTAATTTAATAAAGATCTAATTTTAAAGGACATATGACAAGACCTAAGTATTGTTATTGCTTTTTTTTTTTTTTTCTTAGTTTGCTAATTTTAAAGATGAGTTTTTTTGACTCCTGTAGGGGAAAAGAACATTTTAAAATAGTAACTGTTAATATTTAAATAAATGTTTATTTTCCAACTTTATTAGTCTATCTTCCATTTAACTGTTGTTTTTCACCCCCTAAGAGGACTTTTAGTTTTAAGAGGAAATGTAATTTTCACAACAAAGTGATCAAGAAAGTCTGATACTTTCTGGTTATTTAAACTATTTCATGCATTTATTTATTCAGGAACATGATGGCACCAGATGTATGTGTGTATCTAATGTAATGTGTGTTTGTGATGCAGCGTGTGTGTGATGTAGTGTGTGTGTGTATGTGATGTAGTGTATGTGTGTGAAGCAGTGTATGTGTGATGCAGTGTGTTTGTGTGTGTGTGTGATTGAGTGTGTGTGATGGAGAGTGTGTGTGTGTGTGTGATGTAGTGTATGTGAAGCAGTATATGTGTGATGCAGCGTGTTTGTGTGTGTGATGTAGTGTGTGTGATGTAGTGTGCATGTGTGAAGCAGTGTATGTGTGATCCAGTGTGTTTGTGTGTGTGTGTGATGGAGTGTGTGTGATATAGTGAGTGTGATGTAGTGTATATGTGTGAAGCAGTGTATGTGTGATGCAGCGTGTTTCTGTGTGTGATGGAGTGTATATGATGCAGTGAGTGTGATGGAGTGTATGTGCGTGAAGCAGTGTGTGTGTGATGCAGTGTGTTTGCGTGTGTGTGATGGACTGTGTGTGCTGTAGTGTGGGTGATGCAGTGGGTGTGTATGTGTGTGATGTAGTGTATGTGTGATGCAGTGTGTATGTGATGGAGTGTGTGTGTGTGTGTGTCTGTGTGTGTGTGAGAGAGAGATGGAGTGGGTGTGTCAGTTGACAGAGGGAACAGCTGGAGAGGTCTGGCTCCTCCCTCCAGCTGTATATACTCTGGTCTCAGCGTGCCGTGTCCTTTGGGATTTTCTGGTGCCTTCCTGCTCAGAGGGATGGAACCCCACGGGCACGTGAGCAGCCTATTTCTCTTCGCTCACCCTGTCTCACAGAGCCGACTTGCCATATCAGGCTCTGTGAGCTCTGCCATACCAAAGCTGTTTAATGCTGTATTAATAAATGTTCCAATGCAGAAGAAAGCCTTCCCTGTCACCCAAGAAGGACTGAATTTATAAAATGTAGCATACACCCATCTTTATCTAGGCCAAAAGTGTTCCCACACGATATCGTTTGATGCCCAAACCCTCTCCCCCATCAGAAGCTTAAATGCCTAGAAGTGGGGTTATCTGGGTGGGGCCATCATCACACCACACTCGGTTTCCTGCTTCGTCATCATCAGCATAATTCCGGTCACTTTTAAGGGATCCACAGGCTTAATCTGCTTCTAGCTGCTGCTTCCTAAAAGCTGCTTTGGTAGGTCCCTTTCCTGCTTAGAAATGTTCCATGTCTATCGCTCTACACAGAATGAAGTCAACTTTTCAGCCAGCAACTTAAGTCCTTTTGAAATATTCTAAGTAAATGATGTTTCAAGTGTTATCTCTTACTGCTTCCCAAGGGTAACTTCCAGCCCAGCCAGGCGGGGCAAGAGAAAATCCCTTAAACATCCTCCCTCTTTAGTTTCCTCTACTCTGTACTTCAACTTTGTACCACTTCTGGCCAGTTCTTCAGCTCACTGAAAGCACGCTTGCCTGCCGTTTCTTCTGTTCACTGAAAGCTTCCCTGAAATCAGTGCAGTGGACCTTCTCCTGCCCTTGGATCAGCCTGGAGCACTAAGGATCCTGCCATCACATGAACCTGGGTCTCCTTGGTCTCCCCACCCAAATGGGGAGCTCCCTGAGGTAAGTGATTGTGGCTTCCTGTAGTTAACAGTCCTTAGGTGTGTCTGCTCTCATGACCATGATGACTTATCACAACACAAATAAGTATGTTCCAGGCACAGAACGGTTGTAAGAAATATTATATATACGTAAAGATACAGTTGAAGAAATTATCTCAGACAGGAGTGAAGGAGGCTGTGTCCAATGCTACTGACCCCTCAAATAAGATGGGGAATTGATCACTGGAGTTTGCAATGAGAAGGACATTGATGACTTGAGAATTATTTCTTTAGAGTGATGGGGGCAAGAGACTGACTTCAGTGACCTAAGATGAACTGGAACAAGAGGCTTTGGACACAAAGTGATGTGGACCATATCTGAGGGGTGTGCAGTAAAGGGGGATGAATGAAACGGAGCAGTAGCTGGAGGAGAGGTAGGGTTGAGAGATTGCTTTAAGGTGAGAGAAATTACAGCATGTTTGTACATGAATACGATGATACAGGGGAGAGGAAAAGATGGATCATTTAGTCAAAATACAGTAGTGTTCACAAGTAGACACAGGAGCATGGGATCCAATTCCAAAGGGGTTTGGCTTAGGAGAATGGAAAGGTCACTCATAAGAATAGGAGCAAAGGCAAGGGTGTAGTTTCCTGGATGTGTGTCATAAGGACACAGAAGCTCTCCTCTGGTTGCTTCCTCCCTTGGTTTCCAGAGGGCATTGGTTCCAGGACCCACCATGGATACCAAAATCCACAGATGCTCAAGTCCTACAGTTGGCTCTTTCCTCCGGATCCACAGTTCCACATCAGCAGATTAAATCAACCACAGACCCTGTAGCACTATATTTAGTATTGAAAAAAGTCTGCATATAACTGGACCCATGCAGTTCAAATCCAACTTGTTCAAGAGTCGACTGTATTTTCCTCAAGGATGCAGGAGGCAAGGTCAGCAGCTGAGAATAAGGAAGAGGAGGAAGTACTGGAGGTTTGATATGAGTGAGGAGCAAGGTACTCGTCCAGTAAAAACAAGAACAAAGTAATCAGGAGAACTGGAGGGTGGATGAGCAACATGAAGGGCTCAGGTGAAGCTGATGGTCATGAAGGATAATATACTGAAAATGTGAGAACCATTCACTGGGTGAGTTAGTTTAGTATCTTGGTTCAGCTGGTATATAAAGAGAATCAAAGTAATCGTGGTTTAAACAACAAATACGTGTATTCATGCTACCAGGTAAGTAGTCCACAGGGAGTATGGCGGCATCACCACCAGACACCTACTGTTCGGTGTTTTGCCATCTCAGTACAGCGTCCACAGAGAACCTGTGAGGGCAGCTCCTGTTCCCACTTTGTCTCCTTCTACCCTGTGGGAAGGAGAAGCCAAGGACCTGCTCCTTCCCTGAAAGTGCAAATCAACACATTATGTGAACTACACCTGGTGACAGTCCATCAGCCAGTGTTTAGAGACACGGCCACTAGCAGCTACACGGAGATCTTGAGAAGGTGGTCCTCGGCCAGGCAGCCAGGTGCCCAAATAGCAATATCATTTCTATGTAAAATGGGGAGAGTGGACATTGGAAAACAATCAATAGGTGATGGAAAAAATCTCAAGGATAGACAATATTTAAGAAAGAGAGACTCTATGGGTTATATTCTGTGATTTTAATCTAATGAAATTAGAAATAAGTAATGTAAAACATCTTAATTATTTTGAAATTAATAACACTCCTTTACTTGAAATCAAATGAGGAATTGCAAACTATCTAGAATGCAATGAAAAGAAGAAGACTTTATACTAAAACTCATAGGTCACCATAAAATTTGTATGAGAAAAAAATGTATATCAGTAAATACTTTCATTAGAAAGAAAGAAAGAAAGAAAGAAAGAAAGAAAGAAAGAAAGGGAGGGAGGGAGCGAGGGAGGGAGGGAAGAAAAGCAGGGGGAAGATCATATCCTGATTTTAAAGAATTATAAAAAGAATAAGAAAATAAGCTAAAAGAAGGCGTGAAGAAAAAACATGAAAAAAGTCGTTTGATATCAGCAACAAACAAAACAAAACTAGAAAAAAATTCAAATGTTGATTCTTTATAGAGAAAAATTTAAAAAATAAAATCCTTCAGTCTGAGAAAGAAAACAAAAACGAAAACGGGAGAGATTAAAAATGAGAAAGGAGGGCTTCCCTGGTGGCGCAGTGGTTGAGAGTCCGCCTGCCAATGCAGGGGACGCTGGTTCATGCCCCGGTCCGGGAAGATCCCATGTGCTGCGGAGTGGCTGGGCCCGTGAGCCGTGGCCGCTGAGCCTGCGCATCCGGAGCCTGTGCTCCGCAACGGGAGAGGCCACAGCAGTGAGAGGCCCGCGTACCGCAAATAAATAAATAAATAAATAAATAAATAAAAATGAGGAAGGAGACATATGCAAGTCCCAGAAAAATTAAAAGAATTACAGAAAGCACAGCATACAATTCTATGATATTTGTAACCCACATGAAAGAAATAAATGTGTAGGAAAATATAAATTAACAAAACTGAATTAAGAAGAGGAATTTTGAACAAAAAAATTCCCATAGAAGAGATTGAGAAGATAATACAAATATGCATTGAAAAGATCGTCATAGAAATTAAGCCTTTTAAGTGTAAGCACATGTACACAAGGATATTCGCTACAGCATTGTAGTGATTAAAAAAGAAAAAAAAAAAAGAAACCATAGTAAATGGCCATCATGTGGACCAGCTGAATGAATTATGATTCATCACACATGGAATCGTTTTTGGCCACTACAAAGAATGAATTAGAGCTATCCCAGTTGACCAAGGAAGAGTTTCAGCAGACAGAGCTGAATAAAGGAAATAAGATTCAGAAGCATGTGGACAACATAGTTTTATTTTTGCAAAATAATTAGCAAAATGCACTACACAGTTATACGTGTTAGCATGGAAAAAACTGAGAGAATAAATTCCGAGCTGTTGACTAGGATCACACGGGTGCGGGGTGAGCCCCATAAGAATACGAAGAGGAGGCAGAGAAAAGGCTACCATGCAAAGGCATGAAAACATAGTGTACTAAAAGCAACTCACCACAATAAAACCAAAGCCAAGTTGTGTGTATGATACAGTGACACAGCCAGAATAACTGGAAATGAAGGCATAGAAAAGAAATGTTAGAGAGCATATATGGGAGTCATTCCCAGTGTGAAGCCAGGTTTCAAACCCAGGTTTAGCCGACAATGAAAACATTGCTCTTCTGAGTGTGCTGTGTTCCGTCCAGCCGTGACCTTCAGTCTGCCCCACTAGCACCCTTTTATCTACACCAGGAAATGTAAGCCCTTGGTCCTACCATCTGTTCACACCCTCTCTCATGTCTTCCTTATCTTCCTAACCCAGCTCAAATTCTATGGTTCAGCTTTTTAAGCACTCACTCATATATCCTCAATTCTTCTGTGAACTTCTCCAAAAAAAAAAAAAATCTAGCATTAGTTTAATTCTCTACCTCTTCTTTGCCTGTATTTCCAAAGAGCTGAACATCATTGAATAAAATATAACCATGTATGACTCCCAACTTCCAATGGTCTATTAATCATGCCTGGCAATCCTACTACATTTTCCTAGATGAATGGTTTTCAAACTCCATTCTCCTTCAGAATCATCTGGAGAGTTTGTGAAAAAATAGCTTGTTGGGCAGCACCCCTAAGAGGTTCTGATTCCGTAGGTCTGGGAAGGTTACAAGAATGGGCATTCCTAACGGATTTGAAGACAATGATGATAATACCGGTCCAGAAACCTCACTTTGAGAACCACTGTCCTAAAACAGTCTCTCTTACTCTCCTCCATGACTGTGGTCTTTCAAACCGTCTCCGCTGTTAAGTCTCCAATAACTAGCCCCACCTTTATACTAAGTCAATGATCTAGTTCTCATTTTTGCAATTAAAAGAACTATCAGCAGAGAATCTCCGCACCTCTACCCCACATCAGCCAACCTTCGATCAGCACCATATCTTGACATTTCTTCATGGTGCGACCAATGGACCATCCATGTTGCCGTGACAACCAGCAACAGCTTGTGTACACTCCTCGCCCCTCTTTCAACACCAAGCCAGTGCTACAGCAATCCGCCCTGTCTCTCCTCTACCACTGTTATTTCCTCTTTATTTACCCATCCCCATCAAAATCAAAACATGCTGGAATTTCTATCATTGTAAAAAAAATCCAGTCCCCAACTCACATTTCTTTCCAAAAACCACTGTTGCATTTCTCTATTACCCTTCATAGCAAAACTTCACAAATATGTTTTCTATGTTAACCATCTCCAATTCCTCTCAACCCATTCTGTCTTGAACTCACTTCCATTAACCTTCCGCTCTCAGGGCTCCGCAAAGATCGTGCTCACAAGTCACTGATAACATCCGGACGCTGGATCCAGTTCTCAGTGGCGGCAGCAGCAGCACCTGCTCCATCACTCTTCTGTCGCAGTGCACAGCCTTCACTTGCTTCCAGGTGTCACACGCTTCTGGTTTGTTTCCTTCCTTACTGGACACCCTTTTGCCGGTCCCTCCTCCTCCCCCTTATTTCTTTTTTTTTTTTTTTTTTGCGGTACGCGGGCCTCTCACTGCTGTAGCCTCTCCCGTTGTGGAGCACAGGCTCCGGACGCGCAGGCTCAGTGGCCACGGCTCACGGGCCCAGCTGCTCCGCGGCATGTGGGATCTTCCCAGGCCGGGGCACGAACCTGTGTCCCCTGCATCGGCAGGCGGACTCTCAACCACTGCGCCACCAGGGAAGCCCCACCCCCTTATTTCTAAACGTTGGGGTACCCCAAAGCTTAGTCCTCAGATCTCTTGCCTCTTCCACACATAGTCTCTCCATATGCACTATTACTCAGAGCCTGGCTCTAAATACACGTGTGTTTCACTGATGAATCTACATCTGTAATCTGGACCTCTCCTTTGAATTCCAGATTTGTACCTCAGGTTTGTACCTGACTTCTCCACTTGGAACACGAGCAGACCTTATGTCCAAACCTGTTACTTTCAA